TCATGTTCAAGAAGAAATTAACGGATAAGCAATTGGTTTACATCTTTAATACTGTTGTAATTCCAAGAATTGAATACTGATCGCAATTAACAGCATTTACCTCTTTACAATGTGACCAACTTGTAACGCCGTATTGTTCCTTCTTGAAAAAGAAATTAAATTTACCACAGGCCACTCGGTCGTCAGTCATACACTCGCACCTTTTTTATAACCTTTCTAACTTCCATTCGAGGCAATTAGAAGCACAGAGTGAGGCACTTCTCTATTCACTCAATGACACAAATTTGTTGGGAAAATCGACAAAGCTCTGCATATGTCAACTACAACAAGCGGAATAGCTATATATATCCCTCTTGTTGATTGGCTATATCTTAAATGCAATAAACCCAACGATTGGATCGCTAACGTTCTGTGTGAATGGAAGAATTTAAACTTCTCCACACAAATTCCTGATATGGATTATCATCGCATCAAAGGAGGTTCAACTCCTATACAACACATACTACCCAATGAATACCGGAAGCTTGCCACACACTTAAGAAGGATGTTGCTTATTTTTACAGAACAACTTTCTACATCAGATGGTAACGCTATGTTAACCCTTTTCGATTTAACAGTTTATCAGAATTCCCCGCAGGTTAGATGTGAACCTGCTTGGTTTAATCGGCTACAAACCTTATTAACTGTTGATATCGCCTCAAGAGAACTGCGACAAAAAATGCCACATATTAAAAACTATTATTTTGACTTTTCTCCCCTGGTAAAAATAGCTAGAACCAACCCTTACGTACTTGGTTAGAATCTAGGTGACAATCAACACTTTATTGGCAAACTTTTTAAAACAAATACCAACTTGGCAAATGTTATGCATGTCATACCTACTTTAAGCACAAGTCATAGAACTATACTTACACCCTGTAACAGGTGTATTTATCATAATCCTTGTACCAAAATACCACCACAGACAAAAAATAGTGATAATTGCTGTTTCTTTACTCTTCATAGAGATCTTTGTTTTTTTATCCCTACACTTCGTAATAATAGTATCGAAAGATTTCCTTGGTGTTCATAGTCACGAAATCTTATTCATGATCTTGCTTCTACTTTCATCAATCAACGTAATAACCCTCACCTTCGTACTCCTGTTACCCCCTTTATTCCTTTAATTCCTCCTTCTTTTATTGAACGTTTTATTCCTTCATCACACTCCGCGACTCTTTTAACACTTAGATCAAATTTTAGTTCGACTACTAACTTAGAATTTTATACAGACGGCTCTCTCATTTCTCTTGGCTACCCTGCACTAAGAATGGGTTTTGCTTGGTTACAAACGGTGCCTTCTGCTCCATTATTATCATATTCGTCTACATTAGTAACTTCGTTCCCATCATCATCTATTGCGGAATTAGCAGCTGTCTTCATTGCAATTCTAGTCGCACCACCAAACTGCCAAATCAAAATATACACAGACTCTAGTATAGTGATATCACAATTTAATAGATATAAGCTCTTATCACTTATATCACCATCTCAATGGCCTTTCTTAAAAATCAATAACATATACTTATGGCATAGACTTTTTCATATCATCAATGCTTTATCTCTCTCAGTTACACTTCATAAGGTTAAAGCACATTCAGGCGACCCAGCAAATGAAGCTGTTGATAAATTGGCAAAGGCTGCATTATCCTCT